CGGATGCGGCTCCCCGTCCTCATTTGCAGAACCCTCTTCACTGTATGACCTCTCTGCCCCTTGTTCCCCAGCTTTCGCACCAAGCGGGGTAAGCAAGTCTGCACAGACCCCAGGAGAATCGAAGTTCAGGATTGCATGGAAACACTGGGCTCAGCCGAAGGAGCTGTACGTCTTTTCGCGTGAAACGAGATGCGATGCACCCACCTGCATTCTCTCACCTTCTGGGAGTTTCTTGGCCTGAATTCTTCCTTCAAAAGCAACAAATATTGTTCTGCTCACATTATCAACACTGTGTACCAATAAAAAGTATACAGTGTAACTGTACTTGAACTTTAAGAGGAGAAAGAAATGTAGGAATTGCTGGACTTTGGACTTGTCTTTTTTTTTCTACATCACATATCATAGGATCACTTTTAAGAAGGTAAAGACAAAACTCTTTCAAACACAGATTGAGTATGTGTCAAAGATGTACTACTTACCCCATTAATGAGGGAACCATACAACTGACTCTAAGATCACCAGGGCGAGGGGATCAGACAGTTGCGGGGGCGGCACATTCTGAACTGAGGGAAAGACAGAGCGATGTCCAATATCGCAATATAACTGTCGCGGTTGGGGTTGTCTGTTAGGCAGGGCAAAAACCCCTCACATCTGAGCTAGACAAAAATTTATAAGTTAACGTGTATTCTCACCAAATCTGGGGCCCGATCAAGAGTAATAGAACGTCAATCAAAAGTGCCTTTTCCGAGGGCAGATGAAGGGCTTCCCAGAGAAGGTTAAAGGAGCTCCTCTGCACCAAGCCCTGAGTAGCTGAGCTGTTAAAGGGACTTACGAAAACAAACTAAGCAAACAACTAGTACAGGAACAGAATCACAGAAATGGACGTCACGTGGAGGTTTATGAGTGAGGAGGACAAGCTGGGAAATGGGGGAAAGGTACAGGAAATAAGAAGCATAAGTGCTAAGTACAAAATAAACAGGAGCAGGTTAAGAACAGTAAGCAAAATGGAGAAGCCAAAGAACTTACATACACCACTCATGGACAGGAACTAAGGGGATGGGCATGCTGCTGGGAGGGTTGTTCTGGGTGGACGGGGATAAAGGGAAGACAAAAATGGGACACCTGCAATAGCATAATCAATAAAATATACTTAAAAAGTAAAAAAGGAACCCAATGACATCAAGAGCAAGAGCCGGAAACTATCGACACATGGAGTTCAAAGTTAGATCGGCATTTTGGGGAATCGGGACGGGAGGATGCGGGAGATCAGCGGGCGCGGTCCCTCAGCGTGAAGCCCTGGACATTTTCAAGTGCGAGTTTCATGGTCACGCCTCCTGCCAGGTATATAATATAGTGAGTTGGCGTGTATAGCACATTTTACACACATCATACGTGTGCCTCAACAAACAGGGTCAGGGGGTAAACTCAGTCCTTACACACACAAACCCACCAGCGAGGAGCTGTGAGGGTTCTGTTGTTGGAACCACAGTGCTCATGACATTGCCCGGTGTTTGCGTCACTGCTGTGGGTCGTAGCTCTACAGAAAGGCCTTAACGAACAAATACTGAGAGCAAATAGGTAAACGTCACGGGGTCCTGCGAGATGAAACCAGAAACACTCACTAAATGTACAAGAAGTCTGAACTAGTAAAAGCAATATTAATGCGAACAGAAACCAGAGTCAGAACAAGCGCACAATATATGTCCATTGTAAAAAACACAAATTGCGCTCAACCCTGCCTGGAGGCTCAGTTGGTGGGAGAGCCATCCCAAACCCCCAAAGGCTGCTGTTCAATTCCTGGTCGGGACATGTAAGCTAGACAATTGATTAAAGTTTCTCTCTCACATAAATGCTTCTCTCGCCCTCTCCCTCTCTCCTCTCTCTCTCTCAAATCAGCGAACATATCCTCAGGTGAGACTTAAAAGAATACACTAAAATAAAACACGGTCACGCCTGTCTACCATCAACAAAAAGCTGACTAGGTCTTCCCTCCACAAATGGATTTATGTGGGGAGAAGCAAGGCTTGCGATCCGGCACCTGCAGACAGGACACTTACAAAGAGACAGCAAGGAGGAGGACGTAGCTCTGTCCCAGAGGGGAGGAAGGGGCTGACCGTGCAGCTCCGCTGTAGCCTGGAGTTCTTCCCGGGGGGCTTTCGTGAACCACATCGGAGGGGAGAGCTCCTTCCACAGAGTCTCGGGCTCCTCTCTTGGCGAAGGTCTCTGCCTGACAGTTTGACACTTTTGCTTCTATCCATTCAGCAGCTGGAAAAACCCAGTCATCATCATCCTCAACTTCCTGTTGCTGTCCAAGGGTTGTTCCCTTTCTAGAAATACCATGTCGTCAAGTGTACAAAGAACATCCGTTGACCTCTGCCCTCTGACTTCCTGATTCTCCTCTTCTTTAAATAGGAGGGCAGAGCTGGGGTCCCAGGGATCAGTGAGCAGAGAGCCCGGGAACCCTCAGGCCAGCCCTGCCCGCACACCTGGAAGATGAAGATCCCCGCAGCCGCCCTCTCCCTCCTCATCCTTGCTGCTGCCCTTGGACCCCCGGCCCGGGCGGCCCCGGCCGTTGGTAAGTAGAGTGAGCCTTCCCCACCCCCGGTCGCCATTCGATGGTAACCTGAAGTGCGGGGAGGAGACACGGGGGGTCTTCGGCGAGAACTTGGCGCTTGTTTAAAAGCAGCACCCGCAGGGTGTCGGCCTTTCCCCGTAGCCTTCGGTCACTGAGGAAAACCGTACAGATGACGTGGAAAACAGTCCTCTTCCCTTTCATGGCCAGAATCCTCTGATACCTTCTCTTAGCTGGTATACGGCCAGTTTGTGCTTGATCGAAAGATTGCAGTAAAATTGTAAATCTGGAAGAAGAAACACAGTCGCCTACTGTGTTAGAACTATTACATCCCATGTGGTACAAAACTGTCATGTTGAGGAGGAAATGGGACAAGCCAGGCAAGCGACGCGCCTGAGTCCACCGAACCATTCTGTGGGTTTACGTAGCAAATGAATATCTAATACTGCCGATGAGCAAACAGAGGACATTCTAACTCTCTTACAGGTATTAATACATTGAGTCCCCGAAACAGCCCCGCGGAAGAGCCTACCAGCAACCTACATGGTTTTGCGTATTGTTACGATCAGTCTCATTTAGAAATGAGGAGACTGCGGCACAGAGGCCTTAGGCAGCCGGCTCCAGACCCTCACCCAGAAGTGAGGAGACAGGGTGTGATCGAGGTGTGCGGCTGTTATTAGAAACCACAGGCTCACTCGGGACTTCACGGTGCAAGCCCCACACACCCCACATCAAGCATGTTGAAGTGTGCGCTCAAGCCTCGTTAAATATATGATTCCTATGTAACTATATAGGAAATGAGCTACATTTTCAGTTGCGTTTGCCGAACTAGCATAATGCAGGTCTACAACCCCCTGCCCAAAACGCTGGGGCTAGATGTATTTTGGAATGAAGAATCTTTCAGGTTTAGAAAAGGTGGTACACAGTCATCCAGCAACTCCATCTCTGGTTAAATACCCAAAAGAAGAGAAAGCAGGTGCCTGAAGAGACGCCTGTACAACCGTGCTAATAGAGCCGCATATTTCACAGTAACAGAAGGTAGAGGCCACCCAAGCGCCCATCAGCAAACAAGTGGGTAAAACCATGGGGTATGTATTGTACATACAATAGACTATCACTCAGCTTGAAAGGACTGAAATTCGGACACATGCTACGGCATGCATGAACAATGAAGAGACATCTACACCCTACGTGGTGATAAACGAGATAAGCCAGCCATGAGGGAGAAACACTGTAGGGTTCCACTGAGGAGAGGCACCTAGAGTAGTCAAATGTTAGAGACAGAAAGGAGAATGGTGGTGGCCCGTGGGATGGCGGAGCAGGGGAGGGGAGGGAAGAGGGGAGTTACGGTCTAACTGCACAGAGTTTCAATCTGGCAAAATGAAAAACGTGCCCTGGATGGACCGTGGGTATGGTTGTACAATATGGGAATGTCCTTCACGTTAGTAAACTGTACATTTGAAAACGGTTACCCTCGGATCAGGCGGGTGTGACGAGCGCCTCCCCTGCTCTGCCTCTGGGCCCGGCGGCGTCGCCGCTGTCCTTGCGCGCTGCGGGCGTTCTGCTCCCCTCGTCTGCGGCCTGAGCTCCCTCCCAGTCCCCGCCGGCCTGCTTTCTATCCACTCAGCTGCTACATGCAGGCTGGGAGGAGAGGGGATTTACGGTTGTGAGCAGGCCACACAGAGTTTATTCGGGGTTATTAATTCTTACTTATTGTATTGTTTTCCGTACAAATGACGGTAAACGTGCTTTTGCCGCTCCCTGTATGCATTTAGCAGGCCTAGATCGCAGTGTGTGTAGGGCACTGAGTCAGAGCTCAAGACAAAAGGGCAGGTGAAGATTATCAACTTTATATTATGTATATTTTACCACGTGCTCCCCAATAACATAAATATTTTCTAAAAGAGAACACATAACTGGACATCGCTTAACATTCCAGGCAGAGTCTGGAAGTTCACTTAAGTCAAACTCGAGTATTTCTGCAGCAAACACGTACAAATATTATTCCTAATGGGATAAAGAGTATAAATACCCTCACTTCACTTTGGGCGGCCTTGTGCCACCGAATCAGTTAACAATCGGTTACTGTTTCCAGGGCCCTGTGGATTCCACAAGTGTACGGACAGCATCGCGGACAGTATCACATGATGTGGCCATTCAATTGATCATTCATGTTGCATTTGCAGAGTCTGATTTGTATTAAACTCAATTAAATGAAAAATGAAGGCAATAGAATGTCTCCATGTCTCAAACATGTAGAAAAGTCGCAGGGCACCAACGGAGACCACGGGCCCGGCGGCAGGCCTGCGACCCAGACGGGCGTCCGGCGTCCAGCATCCATGCCCCCCAACGGGGCTGGGCTGGGCACTGAGATGGGCAGAGATACCGAGACACTCCTGCCTCCCAGCCATCAGTGATTTCTCTTCCCTTCTCCTTCTTTCCCCCCAATAGATCTTGGTTTGGCGATACCCGATATTCACCATTCATTACAAGGAGGTAAACGTCTGGTTATGGCATGTATTTAAAAGCAGCTGGTGGGTACAGATCTGCCCTGTGGTTTCAGCCACCTCGCTTACAAGGGCTAGAGCAAGGGGGAGGGGACATCTCCATGGGAGAGCAGGGTGCACGGGGTCCCTCTTCCGTACGGGGCATCCCTCTCACCGGGCTGCCCTGGGGCCCGCTCTCCATAGGGAAGAGGTGCTCTCGGGCGCCCCCCACCGACAACAGGCCCTCCCACCTCTGGGAGGAATAGCTCTGGCCCCGCGTGAGTGCCCTCAGACACACAGCTCTGCCCTGGGCAGGGTGGAGCAGGGAGATGCCAGTGGGTGCTTTTTGCACGAGAGCAGGGAGGGAGGAGGGCAGGGAACACCCTTTGAGAGAACTTCCCCTTCGCACCCTCCCCAGTGCTTTGGAGGAAAGGGGGAAAGGGTCGAGTTTTCCTCTGAATGAGGCCCCACCCTTAAATGCCCTTCTCCTTCCACAGGGGTGCACCATCCCCCTGACTGCTGCTTCTCCTACACCCCACGGAAGATCCGATGCGGAGTCATGGATGATTATTATGTAACAACCAGTGGGTGCCCCATGCCTGCTGTCATGTAAGTGCCAAGCTACCGGCCGTGTCTTGGGATTGGGATCTGATGACAGATGGAGGTCAGGAGAGTCTCACCCTCTGGGTCCTGTGATGTCGGGGGAGGCCTGTGTCGTCATTAGGGTCCCGCAGAGCATCAGACATGAGATGCTCCCCGTGAAGGGGGAGGCCCGGGAGGGGCGGGGAGAGCAGCAGCAAGGCCGCCCAGGACACTCCCGTGAGTCACTGAGGGAGTGTCTGACGCAGGGTCTGCGAGAGGAGACACCCTGACATGCTGAGGCAGAGAAAGGGAGCAACAGGGTGGGCTGAGTGGGGAACCGCCGGGCCGGGCGGATGCGGCTCCCCGTCCTCATTTGCAGAACCCTCTTCACTGTATGACCTCTCTGCCCCTCGTTCCCCAGCTTTCGCACCAAGCGGGGTAAGCAAGTCTGCGCAGACCCCATGAGAATCGAAGTTCAGGATTGCATGGAAACACTGGGCTCAGCCGAAGGAGCTGTACGTCTTTTCGCGTGAAACGAGATGCGATGCACCCACCTGCATTCTCTCACCTCCTGGGAGTTTCTTGGCCTGAATTCTTCCTTCAAAAGCAACAAATATTGTTCTGCTCACATTATAAACACTGTGTACCAATAAAAAGTATACAGTGTAACTGTACTTGACCTTTAAGAGGAGAAAGAAATGTAGGAATTGCTGGACTTTGGACTTGTCTTTTTTTTTCTACATCACATATCATAGGATCACTTTTAAGAAGGTAAAGACAAAACTCTTTCAAACACAGATTGAGTATGTGTCAAAGATGTACTACTTATCCCATTAATGAGGGAACCATACAACTGACTCTAAGATCACCAGGGCGAGGGGATCAGACAGCTGGGGGGGCGGCACATTCTGAACCTGAGGGAAAGACAGAGCGATGTCCAATATCGCAATATAACTGTCGCGGTTGGGGTTGTCTGTTTGACAGGGCAAAAACCCCTCACATCTGAGCTAGACAAAAATTTATAAGTTAACGTGTATTCTCACCAAATCTGGGGCCGGATCAAGAGTAATAGAACGTCAATCAAAAGTGCCTTTTCCGAGGGCAGATGAAGGGCTTCCCAGAGAAGGTTAAAGGAGCTCCTCTGCACCCAGCCCTGAGTAGCTGAACTGTTAAAGGGACTTATCTAAGAAAAGGAAGATCAAAACTATGCACAGTGAAAGGACAACAAACTGACACCTATCAACACCTATACCTAAAAAAAAACAAACAAAGACAAAAACAGCCCTGGCTAGTGTGGCTCACTGGATAGAGCACCGGCCTGTGAGCCACAGTGTCACCTGTTGGATTCCCGGTGTGGGCACAGGCCTGGGTTGCAGGCCAGGTCTCCAGTAGGGAGCGTGTGAGAGGCAACCACACACTGATGTTTCTCTCTCTCTTTCTCTCTCCCTTCCCATCTCCAAAAATAAATAAATAAAATCTTTTTAAAAACAAAACCAAAGGAAACTAAGAAAACAACTAGAAGAGGAACAGAATCACAGAAATGGAGATCACACAGTCGGTTATCGGGAAGGAGGGAGAGCGGGGAGAAAGGAGGGAAAAGGTACAAGGAATAAGAAGCAAAACTGGTAGGTAGAAAAGGGGGAGGTTAAGATTAGTGTAGGAAATGGAGAAGCCAAGGAACTTATATGTACAACCCACGGACAGGAACTAAGAGAGTGGGGATTTGTTTGGGAGGAGGGGTGCCAGGTGAAGGGGGATAAAAGAGACAAAAATAGGACAGTGATCAATATAATCAATATAATATACATTTTAAAAAAGTGCATTTCCCCGCAGCTGTAAGGAGTCCTGGGTGGGGCTTTTGGACCCTGTTCCAAGGCACGCGGCCCCCCTGATGTCTTCTTTCTGTGTGGAAGGCTTTCTCTTTATACATATAACTTCCTAAAAAGATGTCCTTCTGAAAGGTAAAGGACAGAGAGAAAAACGTTTAAAGTTGGAGTTAATATCAACTTTACATTCCTATCTATTAAAGCCTATACATTTATCTTTATAATTAATAAATCTTGGTCAGTGTCTCATAAAACTCAGCAGAAAGCACTGAATTCTAAACAACAAAGGTTGTTTTGTTTTGGTTTTGGTTTTTGGTTTTTGTGGTCTAAATAAAGGAAGGAATTTATTGGCTCACATAACTGAGATGTCCAGGGTCAAGTCCTGGGAACGCCATGGACAGCAATAATGTTGTCAGGGACCCGTCTTTCAATCTTTGTGTTTTTGTTTTGTTTTTTTTTGCTACAGCCTTTCTCCATTGCTCTCCAGCTGCACATTTTTCCACCTGCAAAACGGGGCCTGCTCTCCAGGAACGGCGGGAGCAGAGTGGGCTGGAGACGCCCAAGGAGAGGCTGGGGAAGGAGGCTTTGGGGAGAGAACTGAGAGAGCAGCTGGTGGGATCCCGGTGCTGACTCATCCCCCATGGAGCAGCAGCCATCCTGCTCAGCCAAACAATAAAGCTTTTTCATTTAAAAAAAAAAAAGGTTTAAAACCTACGCTTACTTTTTTGAGTGACTGCGCATAAGAAATCAATAGGGAAAAAACTGATCAATAACCAATGAATAAAGCTAGAAATTACTCTTAACACCAAGAGATTAAACACAAATTCACAATATATCCCAATCTCCCTATTAAAATAGCTGACCTTTGAAGATTTGACCACAGTGTTGAAAAGTTCCTTTTACTCCATCACTTGGGAGTGGAGGGGTGGGCAGGAAACGGTTGCAGATCAGGGAGGAAGCTCAGCTGTGTCCAGTTTAAATAAGCATCCCAGGTGATTTTCACGCAGGACGTCCTAGCCCCTCGCTTGGACGCGCCCCTTCAGGAGGTGCGGGTGAACAGGCGGGCCGGCTGGCGGCGGAGTGGTGACGGGAAGAGCACCTTGGGGTATTTCGGCCTTGGTGGGCGCCTTCCTCCTCTCACAGCGTAAGTGCAAGGCCCCGGCTCCTGGGGTGTGACTGCAGATTCTGACTGCAGGGGTCTGGCAGGTGAAGGAGGAGGGGGGGTGGAACTGGTCCAGGCTCTCACTGAGATGATCAGAGAGCTTTGTTTCTCGGGGGTGGAGGGACGTGGGCCTTCTCGCCCCCGACCAGAAGTTGGCCGGGGTGCCGCCCCATTCTCTGTCTGGTGCATCGTGCCCTCTGGAAGTTTCCCACCACAGATACCCTTCTGTATACAGAGAACTGTGCTTGTAGGTTGACCCTGGGGCTGACCCTGCTCCTGAGGTCCTGGAGCCTGGCAAGGTTGTAGCTTCTCTCAGCGGCAGCTTCTTTTCCCCGCCCTGACTCCCCACTGACTCTGACCAGCGTGCTACCCAGGATCCCGCTGAGAGCGTGCTTTTCAATAATCTTCTCCTTCAGTTTCATACGAGGATATCAGTTTTTTTCAGCTTCCTTGTGTTTTGCTATCACGCTGGCACCTGTCCTTGATATAGAACAGAAATTTCTTGCTTTGTGGTCAGCTGATATCACCTCTTCGGACCCCCCACTGCTCCTAGGTATTCATTTTTGTTTCCATGTTTATTCTGTTATTGCAATGGGATTTGGGGACAGGAAAAGCCAAACCCGGGTGCTCAGGGTTCCGGCCTCCATTTTGGCTCATGTGCCATCTTTCCTGCTGCTCTCATTATTCACCTGTATTCTGCTGAATTCACAAGCGCGGAGTTCACAGCAGCCCCCTGAGCCCTGGAACATGTGCGGAGGGATGGCAACTGTAGCTTTTGGCTCCTCGGCAGTGATTTTGTTTCAGAGCCTTGGGGAAAATATTCGCGCATTGGGTTAAAACTGCACGAGCCCTAAGGGGAATGCGGGTGGTTGCATTGGGTTCTCTGGCGGGTCAAGTGGTCAGCTTAGCAGAAGGAAACGGGGCGCGCAGACCACCAGAGCGCTGCGGAGAGCGGAGAGCCCGCTGCTTCCTAGTCAAGGACTTGGGTCATGACAATGGCAGCTGACCAGGAACAAAGGGTGGGAAGCGGGACTCTCTTTCCTGACCAAGCCTCTATCAATCAAGATCTTGGAGGAGATTACAGCATGTTACATCTGGGGCGATTGCCTAAGACTCACACACTGTATTTTTCCAGTTCCTCAAAAACAGCCTGTTCTTTTTTGCTTCCTTGTTTCTGTGGTCCCTTTGCCAGAAACGCCCCTCCTCTCAATTCTGAGCAGAACCCGGCCCGTCCTGCCGGACTCAGTTCAGGCGCTGCCCTAAGACCCGCCCTCGCTGTCCCAGCCGGAGCCCCATCTCCCTTCTTCTGGAACCCCGAAGCAGGTACTCACTGTCGCTCAGATAGCCACTGAGTGACTACCTTATGTTATACTTTGTAGGCATTAGAAAAACTATCCAAGCAAAACAAACTAGACTCCTGTTCTTCAAGAATATTTCGGTGTATAGAGAAGAATGAAAATAATAAGATACGACATCTGTGTGTAAGAATCATCTCTAATTCATTTCTAAGTGGCTCAGAGGGTTGAGCGTCATCCCTCAAACCAAAAGGTTACTGGTTTGATTCTTGGTCGGGGCACATGCCTGGGTTGCGGGCCAGGCCCCTGGTTGGGGCTGTTCAAGAGGCAACCCATCAATGTTTCTCCCCTCTCTTTCTCCCGCCCTTCCCATCTCTCTAAAAGCAAATAAATGTCTTTTTAAAAAATAAAATAAAATGATGAAGCTTGTGTTGAGGGGAGCCAGCCTGGGGCTCAGGCCTCCCCAGGCCTGGTCAGGCTGCCAAGGGCCGCAGAGTCCAGTGCATTGAAGCACACCAGTTGAGGTACAGGCATACCTCGCAGCAGCCAGACGACAGCAGTGCTGGTGGAGGGCCCTGCCTGCAATTTTTAACAAGCACAGCAGCTGGGTGGTGCCATAAAATGAGGCACGCCCCTAGGTAGATGGCGGGGCGGGGGGTGGGGGTGGGGGCTTTTGCAACTTTAGCCTAGGAATCACCTGGAGGCCAGTTAAACTAGATCACTGGGTCGCAGCCCCAGGAATTCTGATTCAGTGCGACTGAGTGGGGCCGAAGAATCAGCATCTCTAACAAGTTCCCAGGTGATGCTGATGCTACATAGTGAAGTGGCAGTTTGATGAGGAAATGTCACTCTTGACTTTGCAACTTCAGTCTGGCTTGCAACGTCTATAAAAAGCACCTATTTTTTAGTAACCAAAAAATTAATGCAAATAGTTTTTTCAAAATGAACCTTCATTGTCTTTTCAAGGACAAACAACAAAATAGGGCAGTTCCTGACTTGTGTTGGTATTCGATTTTTTTATGATGCAATTTATTTATCCAAGTTGCTTCATTATAAAATAAATATACAACTGGGGGCAGTATAAATATGGTTAAATAAATCTGGTAACCACATTTGAATTTTTCAAAGTAAAAATCTTGGAAGCTGGGAGAAATGGCTAGGCAAACAATGTGCTTAAAAGTTGTATAAAAAATACTAATTAGAGCTGCATAGAACTCATCAAGGCATGAAAGAGTGAATGGAAACATCATATTTTTACTCTTTCACTTTTAGAACCACAAACAAGATTTTAAAACTCATGTAGCTTATTCCCTTTTTTCCTGGTGGGACCAGGGTCCTCATCTGAGGACTCAGCAAGGGCTGGGCCGGAGGGCACGACCCCAGGGCTGAGGCCGGTGGGGCTGGGACCAAGAACTCGGCCGATGTGG